CACACACACACACACACACACACACACACACACACACACACACACACGGATTTGATTTCCGTTTGATTCTGGAAAAAACCGCCCAGCAGGCAGGTGAACTCCACTCCACTTTGCACCTGCACCCTGGGGGAAAACAAACAAACAAACCAGGAAGGTGTTGTGAAGAGAGCTTAGGTGATCCCAGTGAAATGTTTGAGAATGATATGAGCTATATGTTAAAGAGAAATGATAGAATGGGGCTAAAATAAGCTAACAAAATTACATTTGTGACACAAATGGCCAGATTCCAAAAGAATTTTATTAACGAGAGGCTTTGTATTTTTCTTTTTCTTGCACAGATGCACACACAAACATTTTCTTCCTCATTCTGTTTGCCTCTTCTGTTTGCCTTTTGCAAATACACAAACTGTACCCAGAACCCTCTTGTTCACCCACTCTCTCTCTTAGAAACAAAAAAAGGTACTGGCATAAAAAAGAGAGTTCAAATAAGTGGCAAATTTTGTTTCCATTATGTTAACGTTTGTTAAGTACTCATTGTGGTAACCCTGGGAAAGATATTTTTGGCTTTCTAATGTGCTGTTATATTTATTATAATTCAATTCAGTTCAATTCAAGGAATATTTTATAATTCCCTACTATGTGTGTATGGTGTTCTTATAAAATTTATCATTTGCCATAAAGCCAGTGACCTACTAAGAACCATACAAAGTATGCTAAAGAGATAACTCACCCTTTTGAAATATAAAAATATGCTTGGAGGCACAAACTCTCAAGGACCCCAACTCTGCGCTCATACAGACTTAGACAATCTGGAGAAAGCTGATCTCAAAAAAGAGGACCTACACTTTTTTTTTCCTCAAAATCTCTGGCTCATTACATCACCACTCCAGAGCAGAATTTTGGGGGAAATTTCTGAAACAAAGCTTAGGTTTGGATCATGTCCAGGGTTTCCCTAAAGATAGTTAAGAGGGTCCTTTCTAGAATAGAATTCAAGGCAAAAATGTAACTGGGCTTTGCTTTGGCCTGTCTCAAATGAAAACAGCCCAAAATTCCAAGCATGTTTCTTGGGGCCACACAGATTAAATGAAAAGTAGGTAGTCCTTCTCACCCAGCTCAGTTCATGGTGGTCTGTGAATGAATAAGACCTTTACTTCTCTGGATGCCATCAAAAAGGGAAAGAGAAATTGTTCTGGTCTGGCAGTTTTTAAAAATGCATCCTATTCTGGATACATAACCAATTGAAAAGGCTACTCAGTAAGGAAACCCAAAATGTCTTTTCCATGAAGCAAGTCCTCAGCATCTCCCACATAGCTGTCTTCATGTTAGATGATATGGATATCCTCAAAATGATGCACAAAGAAGATCAAGGCCTACTGTTTATTTCCTCCAACAAAAAAGAAAAACTTAAGACACAAAAGACTCCTGAATATAAATTGAAAAATAGTTAAAGCATAATATAGTAACTCATGACCTCTCCAAGGAGGTTGGTTCTTAAAACATTAAAAGACAAACCAACCAGGTGTTACTGTTAGACAGGAATTTCACCTTCATCTCAACTCTACACAGTCTGAAGTAACTCACTGAAAGTCCATGTCTTATCTTTTGACTTGAAATGTTTCAGAGACCATCTCCTGATGGACAGTCAGTACCATGACCCAAGAGCTCAAATGCAAAAAGTTGTTGCCTAGGCTAGTGTGGAAACAAAACTCTCCTCACTCCTACCTTTCCTCTTTAGTGTTAGGGTTATTGAGAATATTTAGCATATCTGTAAGTTCCACTTAAATATGTTCAGAATGATTTTCAGTTTAAGGTAATTTGGAAATGCATTCGACTGAATTGAGATCACCTGATTGGTAATGGGTTCTGTTTCAAGTTTCAAATACATAATATTGTTTATAGTATTGTTATGTTTCTAAATTTTCTTATATTGTGAAATTTGGTAAACTATTGTATCAGATTTTGTTAGAAAAGCAACTTTTCTTATAATATGGATGTTGTTAGATTATGAATTGTGTTGTTAAAAGAAGGTGAAATAATGTTTGAAAACTGTTATGTCATTTCATCAGCCCTGCCAACCACGTCTTGTAATAGTCTGAAGTACAGTAATTTGAGAAATTATAAACTTCCAGCTTCACCTATATTTAAGAGGAAGGGACACCTCAAATTATTTGGCTATCACTGATGAAAATTATAAGATTATTGGTTAAATCATTAGGGATTATTATGATAAGGCTAATTTAATTGGGTGTATTTTTGGCATCGCTTCTCTTAAAAAACTAAACTCCTCCCCATTGCAAACACTTTGTGATGACAGGGGGTGGCAATTAGGAATTTGTGGTAATTAGGAATTTATTTATGGTACTTTGGGGATTTATTTAATTAAATTAAACTTAGTTTTGATAAATTCCAATTTTAAAGATTTATTTTTGCTTTAAGGGTTGAATAAGAGATATCTGTCAGTTTGAAGGTTTACAATCGTAGAGTCAATATCTATGTGAATTTACAGCTATAATATATTATTTCATTAGGTTGTAATAATTGCCTTTTACCATCATGATCAATTTGAAGTTGTTTCTGAGAAAGAGAAATACTTTTAGGAAGAAATGTTTAAGTAAAAATCTTTTGTGTAATTCTTAGAAGGCCTGATAAATTTTCTTTGTTAGCTAATTTATTAACAATTTGACAGTATTGATAACAATTGTGTCCAGTCCTACTGTAATTAGTGAGATTTTACTCTCTGAGTTGAAGCCTTTTTTTGGGACCCTGAGTATTCTTTTTGAGTTTCATTCTTAGGTTTGTTGTGTCCTTGGACACAGTTATTATAATAAAATGCAGGTATAAGAATTGAGTTATTTCACCTAGAATTTTAGTCCTTTCTATATTCTAAACAACTAAATAAATGGGTATTTAGCTTTGTCATCCATCTGTTACTAGTTAAATATTCCTATATAAGATAAGGTGCTTTAATGCCTCACAATGCTATGGAGATACAAATTTTTCTCCCTCTCCCCTTCGCACTGTTTGCTTTCATAAGCTGAAAAATCCTTCATGGAGTGTTTGTTATATCACTCAGTGATTCATTGAAGAGACTGCATCTCTCAATAGAATCAAATGGGGGAATGAGAAAAATGATTATTTTATTGTTTATTTATTATTATTATTTATAACCAATTATATATATGGGGCCCAAAGATCCTCTTTTTATTATTAATAACCAATTATTAATAGTGTAGTTATTAGTAGAGGCTTTTTCTCTTCGTCATTCAAAGCCCAATCCTTGTGATGGACAAAGGAGACATTCCCCTCAATTTTGGGTGGGACCCTACCCAACTGGGAGAGTTTATTTCTGAGTGAAGGGAAAAGAGGATCTAATAGAGGTGAATTCAAGCCCATTGTTCAACAATTTAAGTGGTCTGGGTGGACATGGATCCCTTGATCTAGGAGTAACAACAAGATCAAAGTCATGTCCCTAGCCCCTCATTAGGAAAAGCCCACTTCTCATTATAATAATCATTGTCTCATTAATTTTCAACCAATCAGAATTGATTTTCAGCCTCAGGGACACGCTCTTTTCTAAAGGTATTTAGACATTTAGGAACTTCCATGTGGGGTTTTTGGTTATACAATAAAACACTGACCTCAATTTGTTGATTATTTGCTATTCTAATTAACAAATTGATTCTTAATTACCCAGAAACTCTGTCTTTCAAGCTTTTCATCATCTCAATTTGATCAGTTATGCTGCTTGTTTTCCTAATATTGAACCATTCCTTCATTCTTGGTGTAAATCCATCTTAGTTGTAGTGTGTGATCTTCATGATACATTGCAACAGTCTCCTTGCTAATATTTTATTTAAAAATTTTTCATCAATATTCATTAGAGAAGTTAGTTTATAGTTTCCTTTCTCTGTTTTTGTACTCCTTTGTATAGTTATCAAGGTCATATTTGTGTCATATTAGGAATTTTGTAAGCCCTCTTCTTTACTTGTTTTTCCAAACAGTTCATGTAGTGTTGGAATTAATTGACCTTTAAATGTTTGGATGAATTCATCTGTAAAACTGGTCCTGAATTTTTTTTCTTTAGGACTTCATTTATGGCTTTGTCAATGTCTTTTTTAAGATAGGATAATTTAAATATTTATTTCTTTCTCCATTAAACTGGACAATTAATATTTTCAAAAATATTGATTTCATTTAGATTTTCAGTTTTATTGGCGTGTCAGTGGTCAAAATACCTCATAATAATTATTTCTTCTTCATTGGTTACAAATTCACCTTTTTCATTTTTGTAGTTATAATTTGGCACTCTTTTTTGGTTGATTGAATTAGCTAATGGCTCATTTATTTTATTGTTTTTTTTTTAACCAGCTCCTGTTTTTATTTATTAATTAGTTTGGTGTCTAATTGGGGTTTTTTGATTTTGTTTTCTAATTTTTATAAACATGTTCAATTCTTTCACATCTCTCTTTCTCTTTCTTTTTCTCTCTTTACTGATGAAAGAGGTTAAAGATATAAAATTTCTTTTAATTACTTCGCTGGCTGCATCCCACAAATTTTGGTATATTGTCTCATTGTTGTTGTTACCTTTAATGAAATTGTTGATTGTCTCTATGATTTATTCTTTGACTCACACATTCTTTAGGATTGGGTTATTTACTTTTCAATTAATTTTTAATCCATATTTTCTGTAGTCCTTTATTGAACATAATTTTTATTGCAGTATGAGCTGAAAAGAATGCATTTAATATTTCTGCTTTTCTGCATTTGGTTGTGAGGTTTTTATATCCTAATACTTGGTCATTTTTTTTTGTGTGTGTAGGTGCCATGTACCACAGAGAAAAAGATACATTCATTTTCATTTTCACATAGTTTTTCCCAGAGAGCTATCATATCTATATTTCCTAAAATTCTATTCATCTCTTTAATTTCTTTTTTGTTTATTTTTTGGTTAGATTTATGTAG